AAGGCAGTTCCCCCGGAGGAGCTGGAGGAAGTGTCTGGAGAGAGGGAAGTCTGGGTATCTTTGCTTAGACTGCTGCCCCTGCGACCCGGTTCTGGATAAGCGGAGGAAAATGGATGGATGGATGGATGGATAAATGAATGTCATCCAAGAGAACAGGCTGGATTTTGACTTCTCGAACATTGAGCCAGACCTCACTGACTTTCTCTTGGGTCTTTCTCTATGCCTGTTCCTTCTAAATATCCTACATAATATCAAATACAGAAATCTCCTTAGATGTGATTTTCTTACATCTCATAGGGTAAATGGTTTTGTACTTGTATACCGCTTTTCCAGGCATTACAGCACACTCAAAGTGCTTTCACACTACTTGGCCATTTACCCATTCGCACTCACAAACACTCACACATTCATACACCGGTGTTACCACCGGGAGCAACTGGGGGTTCAGTGTCTTGCTCAAGGACACTTCAACATGTTGACTGTACAAGCCGGGAATCAAACCGCTAATCTTCCGGTTAGGAAACGAACCACTCTACCGCCTGAGCCCCCATATGTCATTTTGCTAGATCTGATAAGAAATCTGTCTGTGGCGTTTCTCTTTTCCTCTATATGTTGGCATTCTGTTGTCTATTCTAGCCTGATTAGTAATAATAACAGACTCCAACTAGCCCATTTTTCTGTGCATTTTTTCTTCCAGCCATTCATTACAGTACTGACTGCAAAGATGCAATAGGTAATATATTTAAAAAGTTTTATTTTTCAAAAGTTTAATTTAAATAGTTTTTAGCATAGGTTTTAATTTAGCAGTTTTTGATTTATTTTGATTAATGTTAGTTTAGCCAGCCTTACTAGCTTAACAACATATTATAATAGTTAACAGTAAAAAAACAAAAACAAAAATAAATGTTGTGGTTGTGTGTGTTTGTGCGAGAGAGAGAAACAGAGCAGGGCACACAGGGACTGAGCAAATACACTGAACAAAATTATAAATGCAACACTTTTGTGTTTGCCCCCATTTTTCATGAGCTGAACTCAAAGATCTACAACTTGTTCTATGTACACAAAAGGCTTATTTCTCTCAAATGTTCACAAATCTGTCTAAATCTGTGTTAGTGAGCATTTCTCCTTTGCCGAGATAATCCATCTACCTCACAGGTGTGGCATATCCAGATGCTGATTAGACAGCATGATTATTGCACAGGTGTGCCTTAGGCTGGCCACAATAAAAGGCCACTCTAAAATGTGCAGTTTTATCATACAGCACAATGCCAAAGATGTTGCAAGTTTTGAGGGAGCGTGCAATTGGCATGCTGACTGCAAGAATGTCCACCAGAGCTGTTGCCCATGAATTGAATGTTCATTTCTCTACCCTAAGCCGTCTCCAAAGGCTTTTCCGAAAATTTGGCAGTACATCCAACTGGCCTCACAACCACAGACCACATGTAACCACACCAGCCCAGGACCTCCACATCCAGCATCTTCACCTCCACGATCGTCTGAGACCAGCCACCTGGACAGCTGCTGCAACAATCAGTTAGCATAACCAAAGAATTTCTGCACAAACTGTTAGAAACCATCTCAGGGAAGCTCATCTGCATGCTCGTTGTCCTCATCGGGGTCTCGACCTGACTGCAGTTTGTTGTCATAACCGACCTGAGTGGGCAAATACTCACATTTGATGGTGTCTGGCACTTTGGAGAGGTGTTCTCTTCATGGATGAATCCCGGTTTTCACTGTACGGGGCAGATGGCAGACAGTGTGTATGGCGTCGTGTGGGTGAGCGGTTTGCTGATGTCAGTGTTGTGGATCAGGTGGCCCATGATGACGGTGGGGTTATGGTATGGGCAGGCATATGTTATCGACAATGAACACAGGTGCATTTTATGTATGGCATTTTGAATGCACAAAGATACCGTGACAAGCTCCTGAGGCCCATTGTTGTGTCATTCATCCATGACCATCACCTCATGTTGCAGCATGACAAGGGGAGGCGACAGTGGTGCGGTGGGTAGAGCAGTCATCTACCCAATAACCAGAAGGTTGAAGGTTCAAATCTTGGTGCTGGCAGTCCACGTGTTGAAGTGTCCTTGGGCAAGACACTGAATCCCCCTGATGGTTAGAGCCATTGGTTGAGGTGGCGCTGCAGATGGCTGCCATCTGTTCTGTACCGGAAACAAATTCCTTGTGTGTAACATACTTGGCCAATAAAGGTGATTATCCTTATCCATATAATGCACAGCCCCATGTCACCAAGATCTGTACACAATTCCTGGAAGCTGAAAACACCCCAGTTGTTGAATG